TTTTTTTTTCCCAGAGGATGCTCATGATATTTCATTGAAAAGAAATCCCCCTGCATTTTCCCCATAGACCACCATTATAAACTATGTGTCTGTAAAACTGTTGACAGCAAACCTCCACATAAAACCAAGGTTTGTTTTTACCTGGTCTACAACGTATTTTTAATCCTTGGAGGTTTCATATTTGTAAAAAAAAACTCCCAGGTGCCTAGAAAAGTAAGTTGCATTTTTGTAACATCATCATAACGTGAAATCTATGAGCCAAATGGGAATATGTCCAGTGGGGGGAAAAAACCCCTAATGAGCATTTGCAGTGAGCTTTGCAATGTGGCATCAAACCCAGAAGCTTTTTTGGCTTATGTGCCACTCATTCAAGGGAGTTGTTGCCATCTTTGAGTCCAGCATCCAGTTCTAATGAACACACTGATCCCCGCTGCCTTTGGCGTGTTGAGTTGGTACGTGTATTTCAGAGAACACAGGAGGGAGTGTGGGTTTGTAATATAAAATAAGATGAGCTTTATATAAGGGGACATTTGAATATTTTGAAAGAATTTTAAAATATAAGTGACTTTGGTTCCACGTTTGGTGTTCCTGCACTCTTGGAGGGGAAGTGCCTATTGCTTGAAATACCCCCAAAATCTTGAATATTATACACAGAGGTGTGTACTCAATGGGCAACATCATTCTCAAATGTACTATTTCTATTAGAATATGCAATATTATTATATGCAGTATATGAGGGAAATTTTGTGTCATTTACTCGTGTAACCTGCTTACTTATTATGTACCTGTGGAAAACATCAACTGCTCATGTATAATAGGACATATGGGGATGTTCTTAATTACCTATGTGCAGATGTTTTGATGGTATAGATGCATAAGTGATGCTATTGTTTCACAAATGTGCATATTCTCCTGTTCTGACATTCCAAAGACAAGAAAAGTACTCAAAAGATTGAATTGGCTAATTAACAAACACACCATCATGAGACCTCATAAGACCCCAATCCAGCAAAGGAGAAGATGTTTGTTGGGCAACAGACATCACAAAACTGACGAACAGAAGGACACACAAGGAGCCAAATAACTAAAGTAATTATTTCCCTCAAATGTGGAAAGACGTGTGAATGAGTGCTTCAGCGATGCTGTTTGTTCAACATCAGAAATGATCTTAACACCATGATTATAATGTAAAGGTATTGTCTAGATGCTAACAAAGTGTGGTGCGAGGGGAGATGGGTGCAGTTTGTAACTACGATTACATTTAATGCATATTCAAGTTCTTATTTTAAAAAATGTAAGCACTTTGTCGAACAAACAAGCAGCTTGCATCCTTAGAAAGGTCACATCATGTGGTTTCCTTTGATATGAGCTGCACCTCGCTGCAATACGTACGTTGTTACGAGACCAAATTCCTTTCAGAAGAAGATATCGGATTTTGAATGCAAAGTGTGTCCATTGTACTTTGGGGATCAATGCTTTAGCTCCTCATGGCTTTGTTTGGTGTTTCGTGTTCAGCGTGAAGAAACATTTGTTTTTTTATGCATATCAACAAATTTCATCGCAGTCACAAGAGAGAGAGGTTAACTTTGTTAGTTTATTATCGACCTTGTTGGGTGTTGGAGAAATGGGAAGGTGGAAAGACCTGAGAACAAGGATCAAATTGTGATGGCCAGACAATGAGGTCAGAGCAGCTCCAAAATGGTACAACTAGAAGGGTTGGTTACGAATGTCTGGGTGGGAGATGCAACAAGGTCCCTCAGTGGTCTTGTATGGCCGATGCCAGCTTATGCCTGTTAATGCTGCATTTTACTGCCGTGCCCAAGTGTTTTTTAAAAAAAAAAGCAGTTAATTAAACTTCAGCGCAGGTTTCTTTAGTTCCAAGTTCTGAGGGTCTCTTATGCCCCAATAATATTTAGCATTTCAAGAAACCTTCAGAGGAGGAAAAACTCCACTGTCTGCAAGCATGAATTTGTTTTACAAAGGCGGAGAATGTTATTCAAGCCACGAGGAACACGGTGCATACTCAAATAACCTGCGTTCCTCCTCACACCCTGTTTTCCAAAATATTGTTGGAGAGAACAGAGAGTGAAAAGGAAGCAAATCTTGACACAGCCGGCGCCATAAAACAAAAAAACAGAGACTTGCGACGTGACGCAAAGGGCTGGAGAGAAAGAAAAAGAACAGAAATACGCCGCCACTATAAGCTCGCACAACGCTGCAGTGTAAAGACAAAGAGAATCCATCTCCCTGGCACAAAATAAAACATTTAAAACAAGGGGGGGAAAAAAAAAAAAAAAGAGGAGACAGCAGAAGACAAAGACGAGAGGGGAGCGGGATAAAAATATAGCAGCATGGAAACAACAGTGTTTCTAAGCAGCAGCTGGCGAGGAAGCAGCAGCGACTGACATTTTGAGGCTGAAGTATTTCCCCTTGTGCATGTCTCTCCAGCTTCAAGAACAAAGGCTTGTGAGGGTGTGAAATATGAATCAAAAAGCTCGTGGGCGGGCAGGAAGCGACGGTTATTAATTTAAACAGGTTAATTCCCTTCTGGTGGGATTTACAGGACATGCTACACTAAGCTCTATCACTAACCATGAGCGCAGACATGATAAGGAGGTTTCACTCTGAATTCATATCCTCCTCCTCTTTATAGAGCATCGCTACATAATTCTGTTGACAACAAATGAACCGGCGCGCGATGAGGCGTCTGTGTGTGTGTGGAGTGTTCAGGTTGTGCGAGGTTTTCTTCTGCCCTTGAGCAGCGTGGACCTCAGAACTGGACTTGGTCCCTCAGGCACCGAGCTGTGGCAGCTCACAAATCTTGAATAGTTGTGGGGGGTCAACTGTAGAGGAAGAATGCGGAAAAATGGAAATAGATCAGTGCAGTGGGATGTGGTGTGTCGTGGGTTCTGGGGAAATAATCTGAACTGAAATAGGTGAAAGTCCATGTAAGTCTGTATGATTTGTGAACGTGGTTGTGCATCAAGGAGCAAGTTGCTGTTTGAACAGGGTTGCTAATGTAGTGATTTTCTTGCTAGAGCTGGTAAATTTGGTGGTGAAGATCCCTTTGGGGACTTCTTGTTTTCTCTAAAAACAACCACTTTTTGAGGAGTCCTGATGTTAATGTGAACATAGTGTTTCCAT